AGGAGGAGGAGGAGGAGGAGGAACAAGAAAGAAGAGAGGAGGAGCAAGTCAGGACCAGCAGGAGAGGTCATTCGCTTTCACCTCCTTTACGCTGTGCAGAAACTCTTGAGGGTCGTTGAGCTGCTGCACCCACTCGACCAGCTGCCTCAGCCATGCGAACCTGCGCGCCTCCTCCACACCCTTGGATTCTCCCTGGGGGATGGAGGACGTGAGAGACGCGGAGGGGAAGGAGGAGCGAGAGAGCGGGAGGAGAGGGAGAAGTTACGGGGAGCTAGGAGTACGGAAGTTGCAGGGAACAGCAGCGAGGAAACTGAAGGTTCAAGAGGGAGGGAGAGGAGGGAGGAAGGAGGGACAGAGCTGGAAGATACGGAACAGGGAGAGGAGGTGAGACGGGAGGAGGGAGGAGGGGTAGGATGGAGGAGGGTTGGGAGGGGTACCTTGTACATCCAGTGAGCAGCTATTCCCTCCTCTGCTACACGGTGCATCTCCGACGTCCGGATCTGAACTTCGATGCGCTGGCCACCAGGCCCGATGACGGTCGTGTGGAGCGATCGATACATGTTGGGCTTCGGGAGCGCGATGTAGTCCTTGAACCTCCCAGGGACAGGCTGCAGTAGACGGGGGCAAGGGAGAGGAGGAGTGGAAGAGAGGAAGGAGGAAGAGAGGAGGAGGAGAGGACGGAGTATAGCAAGAAGGAGGAGAATTTTAGCATGATCGCACTTTGTTGGCCGCTATGCTTTACCTTCCACATGCTGTGAACGATGCCGAGGGCCTGGTAGCACTGACTCAGGTCGTCGGTCAAGATCCTGAACGCTATCAGGTCCTGCACTTCGCTGACATGCTTCAGCCTGCAAGTAGATCGACCGTCAGCCTCCTGCAGTTCCAACACAGGCGTGTAGCTGGTGCAAGGCGTGTAGCTGGTGCAAGGCGTGTACCTGCGGCTTCTCATCTTCTGATAGATGGAGTAGAAATGTTTCGCTCGGCCAGTCACCTGCGTCTGCGATGAGCCAAGAGAGGAGGAGGGGGATGGAGGGCATGCATGAGGGAGATGAAGGGCAGGACAGGGAGGGCGGAAGAGAAGGCAAGGAGGGTTTGGAGGAGCAGAGAAAGCCGAGAGAGGGGAGCGGATCGAAGGGTTCAAATGAATGGAAGCTAAGGGAAGGAAGGAAGAAGGAAGAGGGGAATGGATATGGGAAGAGGAAGCAAAGGACGGAGGAGGGCGGGAAGGAGGACTAACCACGACGTTGGTAAGGCCCTGGTCCACCAGGCTCTTCTCCAAGATCTCCATGACCTCGTTGGTGTAGGCCTGCAGCTTCACCGTCAGGTACCGCAGGCTCACAAGAAGGAGAGGAGCGACCTGCCGCTCCTCCTTCTTCGCCGCCACCATCATCTTGAGTTCCTCGTAGACCTCGGGCTCGAGGTAGCGCAGGCTCGTATCTTCCAGCTCCGTCTTCATCCAGAAAATGCCGAGGCGGTGAGCGAGGGGAGCATACAGGTCCAGCGTCTCTCTCGCCACCTCCTTCTGCTTCTGCGCAGGGACGAACTTGAGGGTGCGGACGTTGTGCGTCCTGTCCGCCAGCTTCACGAGGATGACGCGGATGTCGCGGGCCATGGCGACGATCATCTTGCGGAAGTTCTCTGCCTGCTGCTCCTCCTTGGACGTGAACTGAATCTTGCCGATCTTCGTCACCCCGTCGACCAGCTGCGCCACCTCCGACCCGAACTCCTGCTGTATCAGCTCTAGCGAGGCAGAGGTGTCCTCCACTGTGTCGTGCAGCAGGCCAGTGACGATGGAGGCGGAGTCGAGCTTCATGTCCGCTATGATGCTCGCCACCCCGACGGGATGGATGAAGTACGGCTCTCCTGACCGACGCAGCTGCCCCTCGTGCATCCTCTGAGCGAAGTAGAAGGCCTTGCTGATCATCTCCTCGTCCGGGGAAGTGCAGTAGCTGCGTACCTTAGCCAGCAGCTCATCGAGGGTCATGAGCACCTCGCTCCCCTTCTTCCTGCTGGGCTTCGAGGCTGCTGTGGGCAGAGGAGGCATGCAGGGCACAGACGTGCTGTTGGCGGCCACGAGCTCCTTCTCTCCCATCTGCATGACCAGTCTCCTACACCGCTCCTCCCTCGCGTGCCTGACGGGGACATTGCAAACCTTCATGCTCCTCCCTCGCACGGATCCCAGCGAGACCGTCCTGATCCAGCAGGCACTAGGAGGATGAAGTTGCGAGGGGGGGACGTCGGATGAGCTCCCGGTCAGCGTCAGGGTCAGGAGGAGGGTCAGTAGCCCCCACCCTCCTCTTTCTGGGAAGGTATGGCGCATGCCGTGGAAGCAGACCGAGACCTCGAGAGCAGCCGAAGGGGATGGAATGGAGTGACGGATGCGTTGATGTTGTTAGCCTTACTGTGCTTGCTGGTGTTATAGACAGGCGGGAAACTCCGGATTTGACGTGAAACAATCTCTGTCTAGCCAATGGAAGGAGAGAGTTTGTAAGTAGATCAACTGAGCGCTGAGAGGAAGAACGGCCTCTTGTGCTCGAGCGATCTCTCTCCTCCTTCTCCTCCTCTCCCTTGATCATGATCAGCCATGCTCTGAAGCCGCCTTGACTTGTTCCTCCTCCTCCTCCTCCTCTCTCCCTGAAAGCTCCGTCGACGGCTGGAGGGCGGAGGGGAGGGGGTACAGAATGGAGTTGTGGTAGGTTCTTTCTCAAGGGGTGGGGGTGAGTTGGCGACCAAAAAGGTAGGGTAGGGTACATGTTCACTAATTGATTACCCGTTAGATTATCTTCTGATTTGTTGGGAAAAGTAGGGTAGGGTACTCGGGATTTTTGTTACCACGGGGTCTCAGCGCTACCTAGAGTTGAAAAGGGGGTGTCTCTTTATGGGGACTAGTTGCGGGTCAGTTGCAGGAGGCTATTGGAGGGGTACTTTCAGAGCAAAGTACCCCTGGTATGTACCACCCCACCCCACCTTCTTACTTTTCGATCTTCTTACACCCAATCGCACCCTCATCCCCCTATAGACCATTCTGAGTTTTCCAAATCTGTTTCCAAATTGAAAAACGGTAGGCTGCGTGGACGGTCAGTGACTGAGTTTCCCGGGCCGGCCCGGCGGCCCCGGCCCCGGCGTCCTGTACCAGCGTCGGAGGTTGAAGGATCTTGCAAGGATTTGAAGCGCCAAGTTGGTTTAATCGTCTTGCTATCGTAACAGTAGAAACTTGAAGGGCACAAACAGGTGCCGCCTTCCGCGGCCCGGAGTCTGACGGGAGGCTCCTCCTCCCCAGGAGTCCGGACGGTCCCCCACTTCCTCCTCGCCTCGGACTGGACTGATGTCTTCGGTGCGGCTGAGGGCTCAGACTTGGAGGGAAGTCCTCTTGGTGATGGTCTGGGGGATCCCTAGGCCGTCGGAGTCGGCGAAAGGAATCTGAGAGGCCAGTCACAGGAGGGGCCTGATAGAGGAGAAGCTGCTCACAGGGAGGCCAAGGAAGGAAGCGGTCACGCGCTCGGGAACCTGCAGGTGGTGGTGGTGGTGGTGGTGGTGGTGGTGGTGGTGGTGGTGGTGGTGGTGGTGGAGGAGGAGGAGGAGGAGGAGGAGGAGGAGGAGGGAGGGAGGGAGGGAGGGAGGGAGGTCAACGAAAAAGGAAGTCGTAGGAATGGAGGATAAGAGTTACC